CTGTCATTAAGCTGAGCCAGCCATTTGATCTTCAACACTGGCACACCACCCCCTCTCTGCACCTACTCTTAACATGTCTTCTGTCCCCCAGATGGCTACTGTGCTGAAGGCTGTAACCTGGATGCAGTGGACACTGCTGGCCGCTCCACACCCCCAGCTGACAGGACGTCAGCACGGACCAGTGGTGTGCATGCAGCTCCGGGCACACGGGCCTATCTGTGGGACACACCTGGCTCACAAAAGGTGCTTCACTATTGTCAGAGACTGAGCCTGTGTATTACTCAGATGTCACCAATGAAACAACAGAGAGACTCTTCAGCGGGGTTTCCAGGAATGGTTTCCTTTCTCCTACAAAACTATAGGAAGAGTTGGTCTCTCTTCCTCTGCTGAAAGTTCCACTGTCTGGATGTGCTGCACAGAATAGCCAGACTCCTTGCTACTAGCCTGACAGGAAGCCAAGCCCAAAGATGACAGAGAAAAGATGGAGAGAACCAAGACCCTGATGACAGCTTTAGGCTTCAGACTAAACTAACGGGAACTCTGGGCCACACTGGGAGTCCCGCTACCCAGCTTGAGGTGGGTTTGAGGTAGCTTTCTCTTACTTGCAATTTGTATTAGTTTTCTCTCTCTGCATAATAAACCACCCTAAAACCCAGAGGCTTAAAACATCAAGCTTTTGATATTCCACACTTTGTAGGTCTAGAATCCAGGCACAGCCTAGCTGGATGCCCTCTGACACAAAGCCTTTCACAAGGCCGTGCCTCAAGTGCTGGTCAGGGCTACAGTCTCATCTGTAGGCTCTACTTGGGGAGGGTCTGCTTCCAACCTCACTGGGGTGGCCAAAGGCAGGAGTTCACACTGACAGCCAGTGGATGAAAGGCCTCAGCTCCTCACTGGCTGTTGGCTGGAGTTCCTCCTCAGTTTCAGGCCTTGTGGGTCTCTACAGAGCTGATCACAAAGCAGCTAGCTTTCTTCAGGGTGAAAAGTACGAGAGAGGGCCCACAGTGGAAGCCAGTCTTTTTCTCTACCCTAGTCTTGGAAGTGAGAAGTGGCATCCCACCACTTCTGTCATAGTTTATTCATTAAACATGGGTGGCTACATCTGTCCATGCTCAAGGGACAGGGCTATATGAGAGTGTGAATGCAGGAGGTGGGATCACTGGAACACATTAGAGGTGCCCCCCACACACACACCAAGCGCATCCTACCCTACAGGCCAGATTAGGAAACCACTCAGGAAGAAGGAAGCAAAGGCTGGGTTGCCAATTCCCAAGACCTTCACGTCTTTCCCAAGTAAAAGAACAACAGGTCTCTGATGGCTGGCTCTTCTCAGGTATCCTACAGACATACCTGAAGTGAGGCTACTAGATGTCCTTTAGCCTCACAAATATCACAGTTTGATAAAGCTAAACGTAATGGTGTGTTCCATTGTAATGTGATACTTGCAGAGAGACACACCCTGGTGCATTTCTTTATTGAGTACATTTGATATGCCAGGACCCACTGTGAAGGATTGATACTAACATGAATAAGATCTTTACAGCCTCTGCGCAGCTTAGACTGGTAGAGGCGGGCACATCACAGTGCATGTAATAGAGTGTGGAGAGGAAAAGAAAGGGTAACACCCAGGGAAAGTCACACTGCAGGGAGAGGAGGGCTTGCTGGAGACGGGCTCCTGAGACAGCAGTGGGGCGTGCACAGGGGACCCCTGTGGGCCTGTGGCTTGAGCTGGGCCTCCTGGAGGGTAAGTGGGAAACCAGCTATGTACAGGGCCTCTTAGCACCAAATACACATGAGTGGATGGTTACACTACTCTCAGAAACTCCTGGCTACAAACCACACATTTATTCACAAAGATATCACGAGCCCCAGGCACGTGTGACACTAAGTAGGGCACACAATTTTTTCCATTTTGCCATTGTTTCAGGTCAGTGTGGTCTTCATACCATGTGCCAAGCAACAATGACAGTTTCAGCATTAAGATGGGAGTGGGGGCTGTGTCCTGGTACTAAGTCCTCAGGCCACTTGCTGGAGGCTGGCCTTACAGGGACACTGGCAGCAGCATGGGGGATGCCTGCTGAGCCAACAGAACTAGGACTGGAGCAGAATCCTACAGTGTGTGTGTGGGGTGGGGGGCGGGGGGTGCGAGAGAATGGCAGGGGCAGGAAGGCCCAGAGTAGGAGAGATCAGACTCCAGGCTGGAGCTGTGTCTCCTCATCATGTCCTCACATCTGTATGCAAATCTGCTATTCATTAGCTTTTTGAATTGTTTTATGTTCTGAAGGTTAGCTGTGCTTATTAGTTTTTAAGTCTCTTTCACCCTTTTTAGTAGTCTAAGTGGAATACAGCATCTGCTCTACAGACCACGTTGGTGTGTCAAAGCCAAACACAGCCCTAGGGGCCTATTGGCATGGCTGGAGAAAAGTGCAGGGTGGCTGACGGAGCCAAGACCCCAACCCCAGACAACCCACTAGACTGCTCGTGATGGTGAGGCCTCTGTCTCACTGTCCCCACGATGACGGTGCCTGACCCACCCAGCTAGGCGTGGGCTGCATGAGACCTTCTGTGAGATGCCAGGTATACCACCTGGCCCTGGTAGGTAGCAGATAAGTTCCACCATAAACCAGCATTTCTTGTTCAAGGAACATGATTTTAAAATTAAATTCAGAGGGAGATATGCAAGAGCTTGCAGTAGGCAAAAAATGCCTCTACTGAACTTGCACACAGCCAAAGAGAGCCAGAAGTTTGACCCAGAATGCAGGGAGATGCCTGTGTCAGAGGACACACACGCCACCCAGCACTCACGCACCGGCACCGGCAGCCTACGCCTCCCTGGGCGAGGCCAAGAGGAGCCCAGAATTCAACAACACATGGATGTAAAAACATAAGCAAGTGAAAACAAGGGATTCATTTTCCTTAACGTGCTTCCGATCCCGAAGGCGAGCTGCACTCTGTGTGCTAGGGAGGGATGATCCTAGTTTTTCTAGCTGTAAACAACAGGCAGACCAGTTCAGCTAAATGAGGTAAAAAAAATCTCTGAGCTGAATGCACAGACTCATGTAGTGGGAAAGAAGGGCAGGAAGCTGGGACAGGGGCATGTCTGAGCCCCAGACCTGCAGGGCGCCAGGCCGCTTCTGACAGGGAGGCCGTCTGACACCTCCCAGGGCCTCTCTGCTTCTAACCCCTAACTGCTTCCCTCTCTTGATGGCAGCCCGAGGCTGAGAGAGGGCAGAAGGGTGAATTATGCTACTGTGGACAGAAGGAGTCATATGGGGATGACAGGGAGAGCTGGCAAAAGGCACAGGGGGAAAAGGAGCCACAGACCAGAAGAAAGAGAGTCTGGCCTTCCACCTGCAGCTTTGTTCCGCTCTCCACCTGGATCCCACGGGAAGCCCGAGGGCAGCATGGGAAATGCTCTCCCAGCACTGTGCAGACCCAGGAGGAGGTGTGACGTCTCCACCTGACCAAGGCCCCGGGGAGCACCCTTGCCACACCTCCTCTGCAGTCATCTAGCCAGTGCTGCGCCTGGACAGTGAGAGCCCAGAAGACAAGAAGGCCGGGGCTGGGGGCGAGGTCCTGGGCTCTGTATGAAGTCAGGTGTAGGGGGTGCACAGGGCCTTTCACCTGGCTCCTCTGCCCCACACAGGCTGCCACAAAGCCACTCGCCCTGTGGCCTCTGTTTCCTGCCTGCCAAGGGCTTTACACAACTTCACTACTTCCATTCAGCACTTTTACCTCACCTCTCCCCGGCAAGGAGATTCTGTGGGTAATGACAGCAGCTGGAGTGCTCACCAAAGCTGACGGCCTCAGTGTGTGGGGCTTAAAACCCATTTCCTTGGAAACAGCACAGCTCTAAAACCATCTGGGCTACAGCCGTAACCTTCATCTTTCTGACTGATAAATGTCTAGGCCGTGGCTGTAGACTTCATCTTTCTGATTAAGTGTTGACTCTTAAGTTTTGAACACCCCATCAAAATTGATTTGCATTCAGAAGCAGGTCTAATGTCAAGATGACGAAATATATGTTTTAAGGATAGAAAAGAAGTATTTCTGCAGAAAGATAAAATGAATCAAGATTATTTCACTGAGAGACAATCAAGAAGTAATCTTAGGGTTAATTACCTCCTTTACCAGAGCTGGTGAGCAGCCAGTCATCATTAAAAGATGAAGTGGTCCAGTGGCAGAAAGTCTGCACCTCCACCTGGAGGGTTGAGCACACTTCTGTGGGCACCAGCAGGGCTGTAACATTGCATGGCCACACACATGTGGTGTCACTGCACAGTGAGACATACTGAAGGGGGCCAAGCAAGCTCAGGCCTGGCATGTGCACAGTGCCGTCTGAACACACACCTACATATAAGAAATCACCGCCCACTGGAGGTGGGAATGCTCTGAATGGTGCTAACTGGAGTCCAGCGAATCCCCAGGAAACAGCAAGGACAGCCCCATCTCACATAAGGTGTGCCAAGAGACAGAAGCTAAACAGAACTTTAATTCTGGCTAGTGGTACGCGCAAATCAAGCTGCTTCCCACTTCCCGTGCCTCAGTCTCCCTCTCTGCACAGTAGGAGTCCCAATCCCTGGCCACTGGCCATGTGGTTCAAAGGCTCACATACAAATGGAGCACAGCACCTCGCAGCCTGCCAGAGAGAGCTACCAGCAAAACCTGCATGCTGCCAGGCTGGACAGCTGCTACTCTGTGGACGTTCCTGGCTTACTTCTAACGTGAGGAACAGCTCCAAGCTGACCACCTCCACCCTCAAGGCCCGACTTCAGATGCAGCACTACCGCAGATAAGAAGATTAGCTGGTGGAGTCGTTCAGAGTGCATACTCTGTGCAATCAGACACACTGCAGCCAGCGTGGAGAAAGAAAGCTGAGAAAGAAAGGCACAAACATGCAAAGGCAAGAACGGAAAGTCTGGAAAACCAGCCCTGCACCATCAGTGACCAGAGACGTGAACGGGCAACACACAGTCGGAACGGAAACGAGAGGCACGTACGTCTGCGTCTCGGGTCTGAGGCCTTGGAACCAGCACCTTCCCCAGGAAAGCTGAGCAGCTCGGCCTCACCTGTGTCTGTGTCAGGAGGAGGGTAGGGTGGGGGCGGGGGCAGCACCAACTGAGGGGGGCCACGAGCAGTGCCTCGGGGAGGCTTCTGTGGCACCTGCCGTCCACCACCTACACAGGATCAACAGGGAGTTACTTCAGAAGGTTAAGCCAATAGGTCTCCTGCCTTCCCACAGAGGGCACATGCCACTTCTCCCAGGCTCCAAACCCGACCTCACTGGGCACCAACTCCAGCCATTCCCAATACCACAGGTCAAGCCCAGCAAATGTGGCCATGCCCAACACCACATCCAATCTCACCCAGCACCTAATCCAACCTTACCTGCTCACCCGGTGCCAAGCATACCCAACCACACTCACGCATTGACACTACACAGATGTGTGTCCTGTCACCACATCAATTTGTAAATACCTGCTTGGCTGCAATTTGTTTCTGGAAGACACAACTACATACATTCTGGGCTTGAAAACTATTCTTTTTTTTTTTTTTTTTTGCTTTGAGACAGAATCTCTCTTGCCCTGGGTAGATGCAATGGCATTGTAGCTCACAGCAACCTTGAACTCCTGGGCTTAAGCAATCCTTTTACCTCAGCCTTCCGAATAGCTGTAGCTGAGGCTACATGCACCTGCCACCATGACTGGCTAGTTTTTTCTTTCTTTTAGTAGAGAGCAGTTCTTGCTCAGGCTAGTCTCAAACTTCTGAGCTCATGGGGTCCACCCACCTCGGCCTCCCGGAGTATTGGGATGAGCTACTACTGCGCCCAACCTGAAAACTGTTCTTGTTCCTGAATAGCTTCATGGAGTTAAAAGAAGCTCCTTTTATTCAGGCTATTCTTCCTCAGGCTCACAGTTTTGTCTCTTAGCAGACTCTTGTTGCCTTTCTATATCCACCAACCTACTGTGGATGGATTAACAACTGAGTTAGCTCAGCTCCCTTCAACCCATTTGTACCTTCAACCTTTTTGGTTGCTCAGGGCTATAGTTTAAGAGTTTACTCTGGAGAGTGCTCTGAACTGAGGAAGACGTTGGGGCTGAGCCCAGCTGCAGCTCCTCTCTCAGGCAGGCAGAGAACCCTCTCCCTCTGTCCACACACTGGGATGCACTGACTATCGTATATCAAAACGGCTTTCTTGTGCTCATAAATTTTTTGAAAGTCAATTACAAAGTAATAAATGACATGAATCATTAGTGTCATAACTCATGATCACCATTATTCCTTACACGCTTTTTTCAACCTTTACAGTTAGAATCTTCTAATAACTAATAGATTTCATGTTTCACTCCCTTCACCAGATTATTAATAAAAATATTAAGAGATACCATTTTTTCATCAAGATACATATCCACTCATTCCTTCTCTTGGTTATTCTCTAGATGTGGAAAAACAGTATTTCCTGTCTCAAAGCATCATTTATTTCCTCCAAGGGCAAAGAAGCCAGAATCAGCATGGGCTGGGATGTCACCCCAGAAGTGGTGTCACACAGAAGGTCCCCTGGGAGCAGGCACTCAGGAAGGATGGTCTCACCACTCTAAGGCCTATTTTTGTTTATCAAGAAATTTAGGTTTGGGCGGCACTTGTGGTTCAAAGGAGTAGGGAGCCAGCCCCATATACCGGAGGTGGTAGGTTCAAACTCAGCCTCAGTCAAAAAAAAAAAAAAAAAAAAAAAAGAAATTTAGGTTGAGACATAAATCCAACTAGCTATATTACAATTTTAGTGCAAGTTATAAAATAAACTTTTCTTTATGTCGTTAATGTCTAAATAGAAAAGTCACTCAGCATTTCTATGTGGGTAGGGGCTACATTCTTCTCTTTTTCAAACCAGGGCTTAGACTTCACTTAAAAATTCTGCTGTGGAGATATCTGTGTACTTTTAACACATGGGGATTTCTGATAAATGGCACTCTGACATGAAATTGCCCCCAAGACCTCCTCCACCATACTCTGCCCCCCAAAATATTCTAAATTATTTTCCATAGGAAGAGAGGTCGTAAGCTTCTCAATGCTCCCAAACAATTGTTTACAGACTAGAGAGAGAGACTTGTAGTGAATTATTATTATTCATGCCTCTTCTTATGTTTCTTGGTGAGGGAATTATTCCTACAGTTTTCAGTTTTAAAAGAGCTACCCCGATCTCCACTTCCACCTGTGGGCTCCAGGTGACCCTACGTATCCAGGCAGGGTTCTCCAAACACGCCAAATCAGGAGGTCCTGCCCTGGGTTGAAGTGGGCTGTCCAGCCTGAAGGTTGGCATGACTTAACCACATCTATACAGACACTTAAGTGGGTGCTTAGAATGTCAACTAAGGGTTTCTGTCCCTTTAAAAAGCCCAGGGAGAGCCTGGGAGGGGAAGTGGGGGGTCTCTTCATGAAACAGAGAAAACTGGGTTTATTTTAATGATCCACTGATGTTTTTTTTAAATCAGATAGCATTTCCTTTGGCAAAAAGGATGAACTACCATGCAATATAGGTTATTGTTCCTTAGGGTAATTGATTACTGGGCTGTGAAATGCTAAGACATTCAAAGTGATGTATTGACAAAGCCCTGACAAACAGCCAAACAATTCTTATTAAAGTTTTAGATACTGACAATTCAACTGCTTATCCTTGGTAGTATTTTCCCTCCTGGGGCCACACACATTAAGTCAAAGGCAAAACGAGGGGGCGCTGAGCAGATGACTGGGTACTGTGCATGGACGTCTGGTGGCTTCAGCACACGCTGATGCATAGCATTCAGGGGTGTGAGGCTCCCGAGGGTGTGGATCCTAGGCTGCCACCTTCCAAAGCCTTCTCTGCGAGACATTTCTATTCAACTTATGTGAAACGTTACACTGAAGGATTTTAAAGTAACAGTAATCATCCTCAGCTCGTGGGCCTGGGACCTCATCATTCAGTCCCTGTCCACGTCACCTATCACACAGGGGTGGGGCAGAATGCCCTAACAGGTCTCTTTCTGCTTACAGGTATTGTGATTCCATCCTCTTCCCTCTGTCTGGTTCTCTTTATTTCAAAGAATATCAGTGTCTTTGCTAAATACATACCAGGCATACAAGTGGAGGGCAATTTCAAACAGAATAGTCAAAACTGTGCTAATGTCAACTCATCATGAATCCCATGGGCCCTGCGCTGTCATTCCCTTGCCAGGTGTCCTCAAGGCAACTTCCCTGGATGGCATCCCAAGAACTCTTCCCATCAGAGACGTGTGCCACACACTCACGCGCACTCACTCCCTCTCCCTGGTGGCCTCTCCCACAGCTTCTTTAGCCATTATCCATTCCTCCATCATTCCACCTCTGCAGTGCTCACATGATGTCCATTTATTTCCAGACTTTCTTTCTTTAGCATTAATAGCTTCTGTGTTAATGCCATTATGCACAAGACCACTCCAAGAGTTAATACCAAGGCTGTCATTCCAGGCCCAAGCCAGCCGCAGTGCGGGAGGGCCGGGCCTCACTCACCCACTGTACTCTTCCTGTGCTCCTCCTTGTCCTCCAGGCGGCGGGGGACCAGGGGACTTGGTGGAGGTGGCTGTGGTGAAGGGGGAGCTGGAGCCCGCCGCTTCTTCTTCTGTAAATCAACCTGTGACCCCAGACAGACCTAGAGAGTGACAAGGAAAGACAGGCAGCATTAGGGACATGCTGGGGGTGGCTCGCACGTGGGCAGCGAGCTCAGTGGGAGATGGTACAGTGAGGGGCTGGCTGGTTCCCTTTCCGGTCCTCTGAAGCAGGCAGGGGAGGCAGAGATGTGAGGGCCTGCAGTATTTCCCAAACAGGGTCCTGATATTGCCCCCTGGTGCTCGCAGACACTCCCGAGACTCTGAGATGGACAGGACCACTACTTCCTAGGGACATCAGGTGAGTCTGGAGAGTTGGTAAATTTTCCTGTACCACTGAGGACAAGATTCCTTGCTTTAATTAAAGGCAGAAGGGAACCACTCCTCTGGAACAGCATGGGCTGCCATGATTTGTGATCATGCCAAGGAAGACAGGACCCTGCTCTCACCCTCACCCTACTCTCTGGCAGAGAGGACAGGACTAGCTAAGCATGCACAGACTGAATGAGCACCCTGCATCCAGAGCTGCAACAGAGCTCCTCAGTGCCTGGGGCACTAGGTCAACACATGGGACATCCATCTCCCATCCAGAGCAGTGATCCAGCTCCCGCTCCAGGACTTTAACAGGGAAAAATTCATAGCTTCTAAAATTCACAGCCTGTCAATACTGGTAAGTCTGTTTGCTGAAGATGAAATCTGGTATGTCTGTAAGACTGAATACACTGATTTCAGTTCTTTGAAGAACTGCACAATTCTCCTCTTTTCCTCTTTACAGTCAAAATTTTTACTTGTCTACTCTCAGTGATTACAATTCATTAAAAGAGCTCTGAATTATCTGCAGAGTGCTGCACAGGATGTGCAAAGGAAGAAAAAGAGGACCACACCCTTCCCCTGCCCTCCAGGAGCTCAGACAAGCCCTGTGCCTCCTGGCCATGCCCCCCCATCTTTGCAGGTCACACCTTGGGGACGTGTCTACCAACACCACCACTCGTCTCTTCAAGTTCTGACCTCTGACCTTGGTGCTCTTTTGTTTCTTGTCATTCTTGGCACCACGTGTACCAGAACTGAACACTCAGCTCCACGGCCCAAGGAAGACACTTCCTTTCCTGGGCTGGATGTGGTACTTCATACATACTGTGTTTCCCCTAAAATAAGACCTACCCAAAAAATAAGCCCTAGCAGGATTTCTATGCATTTGTTAAATATAAGCCCTACCTCTGATAATAAGACCTAGTGATGGGTATGGCTATGCAGTGTATCCGCATAGCCACGCCATGCATTTCGGCAGGGAGAGGAAGACATCTGAAAATAAGCCCTAGTGTGTCTTCTTGAGAAAAAATAAATATAAGACGCTGTCTTATTTGGGGGGGAAAATGGTGTGTGTGTGTGTGTGTGTGTGTGCACGCACGCAGTCTCCTTTTAATTTTTATCAGTAGTACATATTTATTGCAAAACGTTTCAAATATGTAAGTTTAAAATAAATACGTAAAAGGAAGAAAATAATCATTTTAATATCACTAAGAGTAAACTTTTAACCAGTGGCATATACTGTATTTTTCCAGTCTTTCTTTTTTCTTTTTTTTTTTTTTTGCAGTTTTTTGCCGGGGCTGGGTTTGAACCCACCACCTCTGGTGTATGGGGCCAGTGCCCTACTCTTTGAGCCACAGGTGCTGCCCCACTTTTTCTTTTAAAGTAATTTTTTCTTTCTCTTTGCTACAGTATATTATAACCACTTCCTATACCTTTAAAATTCTATAACATATTTTATATTAAACACAGACATAATGTAAAGTCAAATAGTCCTACAAGGCTTTTCTTCAAAACCAGCCACTACCTGCCCCCACCCCACCACTCCAGCAAGGACACTGCAAACTCTTTTCTTCTTTTGGCATTTACTCCAGTTTTCTAAATAATAACTTTATTCTGATATTTCTGGATTTTTCCATGTTTCTACTCCAGAAGATAAGGATTTAGTTGGGAAACACATACAAACACACTTTTCCTCTCCATTTTTTCCAAAAATTACAGCAATAGATTTAGTTAACATATGATGTTTAGTTATACATAGTCATAATACATAATATAATTATGAAAAGCAGAAGTTTTCTTCAGCAGAAATTTTCTCCTGCTGTGATGCATAATAAGTATGATAATTACACTTTCTTTTTAGATTGCCTTTTTGTTTTCCCTGAACTTGATAACTGGATGATTGGATTTCTAACATTTATCTTCGCTGAATTTCTGGGAAATTCTCTTTCCCTCTAGTCAGTTCTGATCCCTTGTTCCCCAGATCCTTTCGACTAGATTCACTCCTTCATTTCAGTGGTAGACTGTCTCCAGCAGCTTTCCAAGACAACATATGTGGAATGAGAGAGATTCTGAAACCTCAAAATTCTAAGAATTTTTTCATTGTATTACACTGAACAGATAGTATGGATGCACGCAGAAAGCTAGGATGGAAATAATTGTCCTTCAAAATGTTGAGCCATCTCCCCCGCCACCCGCCCCCCACAACTCCAGGGATGGAATCTCCATGGGATCTGTTTGGAGAACCCTTTCTTATGCCTTCCTGCCCTGAAATGCCATGACGGTGACCCTGGCATGGGGCTCTTTTCATCCCTTATCGGGGCATTCATTGACCCCTAAAACCCGCACATGCCTTAATTCTGCAGAACTTTCTAGTGCTATTTCTTTCAACTTTTTATTTCCTCTGTTTACTTTCTCTGAGATTTCAATTAGTTGTACTCACGCTTTCTAAATAAATTGGCTAATTTTTCTTGAATACTCTTGCCTAATTTTGTTCCCTCTTTCTTGGAAATTTTCTTTGCTTCCCTGTAAAACTCATATTAATTTTAAAATGTGTTACTGTTCTTTTAATTTCCAAGGGCCCTTTCTTATTATATATTTTTAACATAGCTCATAGTCTTGTTTCCTGGATACGATATCTTTTCTTTCCTCACTGAAGCTATTATTTCTATCTTTCTTAAAAAATGTTTTCATTTTCACTTTCCTTGGCAGTATGCACGGTATTTTCCTTCAAGATCCTTCATCTCTGTCCCCTCTCTCAATGTGACTTTTCCTCACATTTCTGACAATCCTTGGCTGATAGTTTATAATCTTGTGTGTTTCTGTGGATAGGTTCTGTTCACCCACCACACACTAGTGAGATTCCCTACAGGTGACTGGGCAGGAATCTGGTTAGCTCTCTGGGGTTCCCCAAGTACCCACATCTGTAGGACTCCCTCTTAACTCAGCACCCTGTACACAGGGGAACCAGTGGTTCCACCACTCCTGGGATCAGTACTGTAGACACTCAGTGTGGCAGGCAGGGGGGATCTGGTGGTCTTGTTGTTTCACACGTAAAGTTTCGGCTAGTCCTTTGTCATCAACTCATCCCACGCTCTGGTATACACAGGAACATGTACCAAAATTCCTATGCATTATAGGATCTGATCTAAAGGGCCTCTCCCACCCAGCAGTCAGGTTTCAGCTTCATTATTTACCACAATGAAAATGCACCCCAGTCCCCACATTGTCTGCTGACAACACTCATCACCTCCCATTGCTGCTTCTCTCCTTCTCTGTCACAGTAGACTAACATTTTATTTTAGTGAGGTTCCAAAGGAGAAACATAAATTTGTTTACTAGCCATATTTTCCTATTTTTCTTTCAGCTTTATTGAGGAATGACTGTCAAGTACACTGTGTGTATACAGAAAAATATGTATTACATATGGTGTATAACTGATTATGTAGTATGCATACATTGTGGAATAATCACCCCAATTAAGTTAACTAAAATATCCACCAATTTACACAGTTACCATTTTCTCTCTCCTTTTCCTTTTTTGTGATGAGAACATTAAGGTCTACCCTCTCAGCAAAATTTTATATACTTTACTTTTTTTTGCAATTTTTTTGGCCGGGGCTGGGTTTGAACCTGCCACCTCCGGTATATGGGACTGGTGCCCTACTCCTTTGAGCCACAGGCGCCACCCAAATTTCATGTACATTTTTAATGGTTGCCTAGTACTCCATTGTACTGATGAGCCACAGTTAACTAAAAATTAACCCCATTTGTGTTTAGCCAAATATTAAGATTGTTTGGTTTTGCCTCTTACAAATTTAACTTCTCTATAATTTTACCTTTTCTCCACATTTTTTTCTTCACTGATTTTTTTCCTCTTTGAATTTTCAATAAATCCACTTATTATAATTCCTCAGGTAAAGAAAATGTAAAATCTAGAGTGAAGATGCCAGATCCTAAAATTTCTCTCCCCATTTTCAGAGTCCTTGTCATGGGGGAGTGACATCAGCAAGATGGCAGAATAGGAAGCCCCAGATTTCATCTGCCCATGAAGGCACCAACTTAATAATTAATAGTCTAAAAATCATTCATGAGAATGCTAGAGACAAGCTGCAGTACCCTAAGCAAGCTTAAAGCCAAGAACATTGAAATGGGTAAGAAAAGTCATGCCACTTTAATGGTGATAGCCCTTCCCCTAAGCTGGAACATGTGAACATGATCAAGAATAAAAATACCTAATGCATGGCTTCTCTCTTGGGAAGGAAAGAGAATATGACTATATATCAAACATTCCATCTTTACAATGAGGCTGCCTGAGGGACTGGTTTCCATTTTTATTGACTAAGAGCACTGGCTGGGAACTAGCACACTTTGAATGCTTTGGGGCCACAGAGAACAAAAGATCTCGGAAGCTAGTTGTAACATAAAACATCTGGCAATGCCATAGACAAAGATCCGCAAAGCTGGGTGCATTTAGAAGAAAGCACACCAGCACAGCTGAGGAAACTCAGGAGAACTTACATACTTTGGATGTCTGGGGCTGTGGAGAACAAAAGCAAGTTCAGAGGCTGGCCACAATGCCAAAACATCTGCAGTACCATAGAACAGACACAAAAAGGAACAAGAGATTACAAGCTCCTGAACAAGGTATCAACAAATGTTTCTAATTGGAAATTATATCAACAAACCCAGAGAAGATGGATCATCAGAAAAGGTTTGGGAAGCCCCAAGAATCAGC